GATTTCCACTTCTATCGTTCTCTATAGCACCATCTCGTTGACATACATTTTCAAATACCCGAAGAAGTCGAAAATTCCATAACCGAATTTATTGAATCAAAATCACCATCGTTCTTTCGAGCAGAGATTCGCCAGCTGTTCGAAAGATGGTAAAAGTGTGTTGAAAATGGATTATTTTCAAATATGTGCTTTGATTTTTTAGAAACAAATATCAATTTTCTGTAAAAAAAAGGATCAAAACTTATTTGTAGATGTAATACATGTATAATCAGGATCTAAAAGGCTGCAATACTTCTTTTTCTGAGTTTACTAGTGAAATGCAATTACATATTTCGAATTATAAGATATATATATATATATATATATATATATACATATATTGAAAAAGAATATAGATTTTTACAATTAAAATGAGATAACCACATCCATAAGTGCACTTGAAACATAAATACAAATGTATTACCTACTTTTCTATCCGATTTATGTCGCCCGTGTCAATTATGTAATTCAAATATGTCGTCATTGTTGTTTTCGCAAAATCTTGTCCTCTTTCAAAAAACCTTGTCTTCTTTTGTTACACTTTTTCTGCATTTTCTACACCTTTTCTGTATTTTTTCTGCACCTCTTCTGTACTTTTTTTGTACTTATTTTCTGCACTTTTCTTTCAGCACTTTTTTTACTCTTTCTGTACTTTTTTTACCTTTTTGCACCTCTTCTACATTTTTTGCGTCTCTCTCGCATTTTTTTCAAATCTATTTCACATCTCTTCTGTATCCCTCATGTATCTTTTCTACACTTTTTCTATATCTACCACATCTCTTTCACATCTCTTCTGTATTAATTTCACATTTCTTATGCATTTCTCCGCGTCTCTTCTTACCGTTGCAGCAAGTTTTTTGCACTTCCGTATCATTCCACCTCTTTCGCATCTCTTCCGCATTTGTTCTGCATCTTTTTACATCGTTTCTGCACATCTTCCGTAATTCTTCTGCATAGCTCTTCTACATCATTTTCACAATACTTCTATGTCTCTTCCGAACTTCTTCACAATGTTTCGGCATGTCTTTTTGCATCTTTTCCGCATCTTTTTCATATTTTATCTAGCTGCGTGCGTTATTTATTTACATATCTACTTATTTACATCATCTATCGAAATTATCTATCTATTTATCGATATTATCTATCCATCTTCCTAAGTTATCTGTTCACCTAATTACGTTATTTGGTTATTTACGGTATTTATTACGTATATACCTACATCATCTACTACTCATTTATGTTATCTATTCACCTTCTCCTTTTGGCACCTTGCCTTTGGCACTTTTTTATATCTTTCTATGTGTGCACAATAAATATGGAAAAGTTGCATTAAAAATGTTGTCATGTAAAATGTTAGGTAAGAATTATTTTTAATAATAGTTGCAAATACACGCTGCAACACTGTTACGACGTTACACCTTACTGAAAGCGGATATTTTTATGACATTGCAACAATATTGTAAATACATTTCGCAATCTATTACATTGTAATGAAATATATCTGCAATCTTTCTGTGCTGTATAGGAGAAACAAATATCATACGTATTTAGAAAGATATAATTTCTTTAATTATGTTCAAATATTGTTATTTTCATTATTACCTTTATTATTGTTATAATATTGTCTATATAATTCTTTAAATATGAATACAAAATATATTACTAATAATAAGAATTTAACAGAAATTCATGAAATTCACCATTAATGAAAAGAGACTAAAAATGTAAAAAAAAGGATTAAGTATATTATGCAAAAAAAACCAAAAATAATGCCATAAAAAAGAAATCAAAATAATAAGTATCTATTCTAAGTATCTTTATTTAAAAAGTCCCACAGAACACAATTTTTTAAGCGGCATCTTGAAGACGTCCTTATGTAAACGTCTTTTGGACAATCTTTAGGACTGTGCGGTATGTGATAATTTCTCACAATTATAATAGACTTAAATACGGAAGATATTATATTGTGGGAATCAACTTGTTGATTATATTAATAAACCACTTGTTTTTAATGGAATTGAAAAAAGAAGGTTCGCGTAGAAATTTGGTTTGATATTAATTTCTTTGAGCGATGAGTCCTTAAAATTCATAAACCATATTGGCCTCTAAGAATTATTATTTCATCAATTGATTTGATCTCTTTTCCACGTAGAATATAAGTTATTTGTCTATGGATCAATCTCTATTAACTCATTACATTCTCATTCGATCTATTCAAAAGATCTGTTCGCGTTGTATGCACTTTTTGCACTCATCTTCGTTTTTTCTTTTCTGAACGTCCAATATTGGACTGGATATATGTATTAGAAATACTTTTATTTGAAAAATAGTATTGGTAAGATAATTATATTTTGTACACATTGTGTTTGTTCGGAGTATATGAAAAAAAATTTTGTATTTTGTATTTCATAGGACAATATGAAAGTATTTTGTATTTTCAATTTCATAAATTTATTAATGATAAAAGATTATGAAAGTGTTTTGTATTTTGTATTTCAAATACATTGATAATCAACCTTATTATTTGAATTACAAGGTACAAAAAGCTTTCAATCTTTCGATTTTAAATACAAAATACATAATATTTTTATGTGATCCACTAAAATAAAAAATACAAAATACATTTGTATTGCAAATAACGTGTTTTAAATAAAAGTATTTCAAATACATGCTCAGCCCTGCAAATACATATCTATCGCATTTTTTTAAGTTCAAAAATTTTGAAGATTTTAAGTAACTCGAACAGACCTAATTACTATGTAACGTTTGCAATATAGTCACTTTTTTTTACTCTCATTCTCTTGCATACTCTTTAATGATAATTTGGGCGGTAATTAACGAGAAGTGATACCTAACATTTTAAATATGGCAATATTTTTAATACAACTTTTCCATATTTATTATGTATATATAGAAAGATATGAAAAAGTGCAGGAAAGTACCAAAAGTGTGAGAAGGTGAATAGATAATGTTCGGAATCCATATCGTTTGCGGCGTCTAGTCATATCGTTTGATAAAGAATCGATCAATTCACGAGATGTCGATTGTTAGGCGACGCATGCGTCGCGCGTAATCGATCAGAAACACTCAGACCATCATGGCTGTTCTAACTGTCTCGTCAACAGCACGTGTCTCGCCTTGTGCTGAATAAATTTTTACCGCGCTACCGCACCGTTGAGATTCTTTCCGCATCTGTACAATATATTCGCCCGCATTTGAGGTCTGTTTAAATAAAGGAAATAAATTTGGAAATCAAAATCTCATTTTTCTCAATCAAGTGCCATCGAAGCCGCGGGAAACGCTTGGACGGTGATTGTATGGCCGTGCAACTACAAATTCATCCTGCACGCAGCAAGATCGCCAACAGATAATAAAAATGAATAGATAGATGATGTAGGTATAGGCGATAAATACCATAAATACCAAATAACGTAGTTAGATGAATAGATAACTTAGGAAAATGGATGGATAGATAACATTGACAAATGGATAGATAATTTCGATAAGTCGATAGATAGTGTAAATAAGTAGTATGTAAATAAATAACGCACGCAGCCAGATAAAACGAAAAAGATACGAAAAAGATGCGGAAAAGATGCAAAAGACATGCTGAAACGTTGCGAAGAAGTTCGGAAGAGACATGGAAGTATTATTAGGTGTACAACTTTGCTTCCGCCGTGTTTTTTCCAAAATTCGAGGCTTTATTGTAAAAAACTGGCTATACATTTATGATTCAAAGTATTGTCCATCGCTGGCCACTACTTTCTCCCATCTTAGCATACGAATCCCGCGTCGAAAAAACTGGTCATCTTTTGAGGCTATCCACGAATCGATCCAATTTTTTACTTCTTTATAAGACCGGAAGTGCTGGTCAGCCAGGCCGTGTGCCATTGATCGAAACAAGTGATAGTCAGAGGGAACAACGTCCGGAGAATACGGCGGGTGGGATTGGACTTCCCATTTCAACGTTTCCAAGTATGTTTTGACCACTTTCGCAACATGGGGTCGAGCATTGTCATGCTGCAAAATCTCTTTATCGTGTCTCTCGTTGTATTGCGGCCGTTTGTCTTTCAATGCTCAGCTCAAACGCATCAATTGCGTTTGATACCGATCGCCTGGGATTGTTTCAGTCGGTTTTAACAGTTCATAATACACTACGCCGAGCTGGGCCCACCAAATACAGAGCATGACCTTGGAGGTCAAAATCACCGTTCTTGAAGCGTTGAAACCCCTCACGACTCGTTCTTTCACTAATAGCGGCCTCCCCATAAGTATTTGAGAGCATTCGATGAGCCTCAGCCGCAGATTTCTTCATATTGAAGCGAAAAATTAAAACCTCCTGCAAATGACGAGAATTTGGCTCGTAAACTGACATTTTCAATCGAGAATAACTTTATGATGCAGACACAAATCGACTAATGTTTCTATGGGGTTATGTTGACAGATGCCCAAGTTTATTGTATGACGTCTATGATCTATTTATTTCGACCACCACTTACTGCTAAAGCCATCTATAGGAAAACGGCGGAAGCAAAGTTGTACACCTAATATATATCAGAATCATTTAGTTATACATAAAAATGATAAAAATTAATCCACGATACGAAAGACCTATCATATGTAGTAAAGCACAATAAAAATATCAAAACCATCATGTAATTATATTAAAAGTTAAAACAACAGAAAAGGAGAAAAAAGTAGAGATAGGAAGTGAGGGAGGGAATGGGAGGGAAGAGAGAGAGAGAGAGAGAGAGAGAGAGAGAGAGAGAGAGAGAGAGAGAGAGAGAGAGAGAGAAGGAAACGAAAAGCACGTAACGTCATAATGAAGCCGTTAAACGCGATGCAATACATTGATAACGTATCATTCTCAGTGTCTTCACGATTAAGATGCTGATGATTGCGAAAGAATTTATCTCCCGGAATAGTTGATAATAATGGCCCTATGAATGAGACAGCTCCACTTACTTAGATGCCAGATCAGAATATCGCGAGTCGTGATGCGACGTACTCTGGTGGGCATCGGGGATCCTCTCGCGCTCGCCGTATCCCATCGCCGGTCCGTCATAACTCTCAACGTACGCTGCGGGATTGTGTCGGTGGGACATGTGCTTCTTGTCGTGGACGCTGTAATCAAATGTCTTTTTAAGATTGTTGCCTGAAGCCAACGACAAATCACTTATTCATGCGAGTTAAAGACGCGTGTTATGCTAATAAGCCGCTTGATGTATTCATTAAGAATCTCCGGTTCAGCGTTTCCCAATCATCCTGGATCCCGGAAAATCATCCCTCCTTATTTCTGAAATTTATAGATTTCACACGAAATGTTCGTGTATCTTCATACTTTATACGAATAGATTGAGAAACGCTCTTTGGGAAACACTTCTCCGAATAGCGTGTATTTAACAGTGTGATCTGTCAGCGAGCTCGCATAATGATGAATCTATATGATGCCCAGTAGATCATAAATTGTCGTTTTATTCGACGAATAGAATTAAATTGATGCGAGGTTGAATTAGATGTGAGATAAAGTACATTGAGTAGAATTTGTTAGATCAAGAACTTATACGTTAACTTCAATTTGCTCACTTCAATTTGCTCCAATTTACTCTGTCAATTGAAGATTTAATAGAAAGACTTATGTATAAACCTTTCTCTTCGTATTTAATCACTATACGAGCTCGCGTTTTGAGCTAAACTTCTACAAATAAGACCGGTTTTCTAAACGGTCATGGCTGGTGCTGCACGCTTAATCTAAAAGCTGTAATCTATTCGCATACGTATAATCTTCTTAGCGAAGCTTCTAAGCAGAAGCTATCACGTGCACAGCAATAACATTGGTCGACAAAAATACAATTTTTTTTGGCCATAAAGTAAACAAAGTAGTTTCTGAAAGATTTTGATGCACTGATTGCGAATCTGATCCCGAAAATGTCATATCATGTCAAGTTTTTGAGATGTTCTAACCTAAAGATGCAAAGAATGGTTTTTGCATCTTTTTGGCCACTTCCAACGACTTAGAAAATGCTTAACAATTTTTTTTCAGCATCCAAGTAGGTCACAATAAAGTGTTATTCTTGGTAAAGTTTTTTTCATAATTTCTCATAAAATCTTCCATAATTTCTCATAATTTCTCATGTACATAATTTGTGAGAAATTATGTGAAATTAGAGACATTTCTCAGATTTTCGAATATTTTCTGACATTTTTGCCAACAACAATTAATAAAAAATATCATAATTAGCGATTCGATAAGAAATATGAGAAATTTTTCAGATTTTCTAATATTTTCTGAAATGTTTTCCCAATAAAAAAATGTATTGGGAGTACAAATAAGTTTCCGCCGTTTGCAAAAGATGGCGCCACTAATAAAGTATAGTTAAAATTGTTTGATACAAAACGACATATCATAAGATTGGACATCCGGTAACACCATAACCTTGAAATATTAGCGATTTTGTATCAGCATCATATATTTTTTTTGTATGAAAATGTCGAGTTTTGAGCCGAATAAGCGTCATTTGCGGAGACTTTTGATTTACTTCTTTAATTTGAAGAAATTTGAAGAAATCTGCAGCTGAGGCTCATAGATTGCTTGTAGAAGCATATGGTGATGCTGCCTTAAGTGAGAGAAGTTATCGTGAGTGGTTTCAAAAGTTTAAGAACGGTGAATTTAACGTCAAAGACAAAGAATATAGCGGAAGGCCGAAAGTGTACGAAGACGCGGAATTGGAAACATTATTGGATGAAGATTCGTGCCAAACGCAAAAAGAACTTGCACTTACATTGAGTGACTTACAGGAATGATTACAGGAGTGACTCAACAAACAATTTTATATCGTTTGAAATCATTGGGAATGATTCAAAAGCAAGGGAATTGATTTCCATATGAACTGAAGCCGAGAAACGTTGAACGCCGATTTTTCACATGTGATATGCTGCTTGCCAGACATACCATAAACGAAAGGGTTTTTTGCATCGTATAGTCACTGGTGATGAAAAATGGATTCACTACAATAACCCAAAGAAGAGGAAATTATGGAGACCACCTGGCCATGCTTCAACATCGACAGCCAAATCGAATATTCATGGAAAAAAACTCATGTTGTGTATTTGGTGGCATCAGCTTGATGTCGTGTATTATGAGTTGCTCAAATCGAACGAGATTATTACTGGGGCTCTGTACCGAATACAGTTGATGAGATTGAGCCGACTCAAGGAAAAACGCGCCCACTACTACTCCAGGAATGACAAAATTATTCTCCTGCATGATAATGCTCGACCACATGTTGCGGCGTTGGTCAAAATCTACTTAGAAACACTCAAATGGGAAGTTCTACCCCACCCGGCGTATTCTCCAGACATTGCTCCTTCCGACTACTACTTGTTCCGATCGATGACATATGGCCTGTCTGAGCAGCACTTCATATAAAGATACCAAAAATTGAATCGATGATTGGATAGCCTCAAAAGATGAAGCGTTCTTCCGACGCGATATCCACATGTTATTATACTACAAAGATGGGAAAAAGTAGTGGCTAGCAATAACCATTACTTTGAATAAAACATTATTATGTTTATTATACAATTATGTACCATTCTTTCACAATAAATGTTTAATTTTTGATAAAAACGGTGGAAACTTATTTGTACTCTCAATATTATAGTCTCGGTTATGTTTTCCCCTGAGGACAAATATTCTTTTAGGGAGTAACACACAGTAATTACTAATCTCATATCAACTATCCCATATATAGGAAATATATTAGTTATGTGAACCTGGAGAGAATCTCTTCTCAATCAACAATTCAACCTTAAATTGCTTCTTCTCTTTCCAATTTATTCTTATCATTATATTATTCATTTTTATTCATTTTTCTTACACTCAACCGAATTATCAAATTCGACTGGAATAAATAGAGACCTATACAAAATTCCTTTTTGTATAGGAACCCCTATACATTTCCCCTATTTTACCTTTAAAGATGTTTTTGTAAACGATCTATAACTTCATTCAGTTGTTTTAGTAGCATATAACTTTAAAAACTTAGTAAAACCATCACTATTAATAATATATATTTGTATTTCGTGGAATGACTTTTGGACATTGGACCTAAATGATCAATATGCAAATCACTAGATAGTTTATCCCCTTTGGGAATATTGTGAACCAATCCTTCCACCTTGCCTGACGAAACAGAAAAAGCAATACATTTTAGACAAGTTTTAATATAATCCTCAATTTTCTCTCTCATTTACGGAAACCAATAGCTACGTCGAATATTTTCTAATATTTTAGTAAGTCCGATATGTTCATCATGATATTTATGCATTATTTTATGCATTATTTTCCATAGAAGAAGGAACATAAAATTGAACGTGGTCTTTGGCTTTCCTGTAAACTCGTCATTTATTCCGATACGAATAAACGATCATACTTTTCCTTTAACTCTTCGCGTAATTTAACAATGTTATCATCAGTGTCTTGATTCAAGGCTAGGTTCCGATGAAAAGAATTATCCTCTAACGTGAGTGTATTCCTACTTAATATCTTTACGTGTGATATTCTGATTCCTGGTCAAGACTATAATCATAAACTTTCATTTCAAGAACCCATGCAATCGAGCAATGGATTTACATCTTTCTGTTCATCATTTGCGCAAGAGCTTGACAATCGGTAACAATTTTAAACTTTGTCCTTACGAGTAGTGTAAATATATACGAAACTGTCTTAATGCATAAATAATCTCAAGAGTTTCCAACTCTTGAAAAACTATAGTATATATTAGGTGTACAACTTTGCTTCCGCCGTTTTCCTATAGATGGCTTTAGCGGTAAGTGATGGTCGAAATAAATAGATCATAGACGACATACAATAAACTTGGGCAACATAACCCCATAGAAACATTAGTCGATTTGTGTCTGCATCATAAAGTTATTCTCGATTGAAAATGTCAGTTTACGAGCCAAATTCTCGTCATTTGCGGGAGGTTTTAATTTTTTGCTTCAATATGAAGAAATCTGCGGCTGAGGCTCATCGAATGCCCTCAAATACTTATGGTGAGGCCGCTATTAGTGAAAGAACGTGTCGTGAGTGGTTTGAACGCTTCAAGAACGGTGATTTTGACCTCCAAGGTCATGCTCTGTATTTGGTAGGACCAGCTCGGCGTAGTGTATTATGAACTGTTAAAACCGACTGAAACAATCACAGGCGATCGGTATCGAACGCAATTGATGCGTTTGAGCCGAGCATTGAAAGACAAACGACCGCAATACAACGAGAGACACGATAAAATGATTTTGCAGCATGACAATGCTCGACCCCATGTTGCGAAAGTGGTCAAGACTTGGAAACGTTGAAATGGGAAGTCCTACCCCACCCGCCGTATTCTCCAGACGTTGCTCCCTCTGACTATCACTTGTTTCGATCAATGGCACACGGCCTAGCTGACCAGCACTTCCGGTCTTATGAAGAAGTAAAAAATTGGATCGATTCGTGGATAGCCTCAAAAGATGACCAGTTTTTTCGACGCGGAATTCGTACGCTACCCGAAAGATGGGAGAAAGTAGTGGCCAGCGATGGACAATATTTTGAATCATAAATGTATAACCAGTTTTTTACAATAAAGCCTCGAATTTCGAAAAAGAAACGGCGGAAGCAAAGTTGTACACTTAATAACTTTTATGATATTTTGATTCTGATAGATTTCTGATGGATTTCTGATGGATTTCTGATGTTCTTTTCGAAAAATAAAAATTAGATGGAATTTACGATCTGCTTTCTTCTGCACTAAAATAACGCCAAAACCCAAAGTCCTAGCATCAATGAAGTTCAGTCTCAGCAAGAAGTGAAGAAATTGAAAAGACCGGCGCATTTATTAATCTGTCTTTAAGCATCTTGAACGCATTATGTTCTTTTTCCTCGTAATGAAACGGAACATTTTTCTTAACTAAATCATTTAATGATTTAGCTATCAATGAAAAGTTTTCCACGAATTTAAAAACACCGAAAATAAAAACACAAACCCAGAAAACTTTGAACTTCATGAACTTTACGTGATTCCGAAAAATTCTGTACCGCAATTATGCCGCGATCAGTGGGCCATATGCCTTCTTCTGAAAGTGTA